ATGGTCTTTATGTTAATTTTATTTTGAGCGTTTTATTAAAACGTCTTTCTTAGAGGGAGTATGAAACTTTGAGAAGAAAGTCGCACGAATGGCTAGGTTTCGGTTGAATTTTTTACTCTTTCAGTCAAAATCACTTAACATGCATCGTCGTCGTGATGTGGCAGGTAACTAACGTAAGAAATAAGAGATTTTTCTCAAATTGGCTCACACTTGTTTCGCACCAACCCATTATTAGAATGAAGTGGGTTCGCTTTCTCTGACTAACTACGAGTGGCAGTCCAAGCCAGAAACCTGTCCTGACGTGCAACTTTCTGATACTTTATGTATATGTTTATAAATATTTTTGTTCTCTCTGTGTTTCTGACAATGGAAAGTGTCTTCGAACTTTTGTGTCAAGGTATTAAGTTTAAGTTGACTACTAGGGCTGAAGGGCTAAGTCATTAAAACTGGTAGTTTCTTTTATCTATCTACATTAGATATATATATATATCCCAGTGTAATGTACCTATTTGTTTTTATAGGTTGACCGCAGTATTCAGTTACTACATGACCTGCAAGGAGAAAGACAACGCTGGGAACAAAGCAGTGATACTTTTCGATCACAGGTGGAGACGATCGTTGGTGATGTGCTTCTTTCGGCAGCTTTCGTCACATACGCCGGTATTTCGTTTTTCTAAACTGTGAAAAGCTTTCTTATAATAACTTACGTACGATGATTACGATTTTATCATCAGTACTGTTGGAAATTGAAAAATCATATGCACAGTCTATAAGACTCTGTGGGGGGGGGTAGATAAGGGAGACTTTCCGCTAGGCTTATCACATAGCTGTAGGCGCTGCCTTTTAAACAACGTACTGTTGGCCGATGACGTTGAAATGGATATCAGCGCTACATCATCAGCTTAATGAAAAGAAAAAAAGGCCCAGATGATCCATAATCGTAAAAGTGTAAAGGCTTCCGGCTGTTAAAATTTTTCCTTCCCTTATTTCTTTCTTTACTTAACTCTGTCGTTCCAGCTGCGTTTCAGATCACATTGGGCCCATTCGCTTTCTCATCATAAAGGTCATAATTTTACAGCGCAATTAATTCAACAGACAGAATCAGCTGATATCATTTCGCAGTTAGAAACACTGTAAATAGGATTAAATATGTCTAAACACCGTGATGTTAAGATGGTCATTGTTATGTCCGCCAGATGTGTCAGGTTTGATTGCTTCGAGCAGCGTAAATTTTACTATTACATATTAATTATTTCTTGCAAGGTCGACATCCTGCTACCAGATATAATATGATGGTGCTTTAGTTTATTCGTGCTAGAAATTTCTGTTTTCGATCATGCTGCTCAGAGCTTACGTTTCACGGCTCCAGTACATACCAGGTCCCCTATCTGATCAGCGAAGCATCATCTTTTTTCGAATAAATGTTTCAAGAATAAGGTAGGCTTTGAAGCAAGAAATTTTGGAATTAAATAGTAATATAAACTGTTTTTAAAATTTTCTCAATAATTATGGAGGTACCTATTTCACGTGGTGTGAGGTGACAGGATACAAAACGTACCGCGATGATTCCTTTTAATACGACGCGTTCGCTAAGTAAAATATTTAACTCCTGTGCACAGTTGACGTGTCGAGTTTACTTTAACGCCTAGATGATTAGAACGGTTTTTCGATGGAATTCACCTATCCTCCACCTAATGCAGAAAGAACGTTGCCAGGCAGAAATATGTAAGGTCCTTAATGAAGTTATAATTAATGGGCAGTTTGAGGGATATGCCGAAACAACTCAGAAAATTTAGCTGCATATCAAATATTTTCTTACCAAAAGCAGCGCTCTTAGTCATCCCGTGAGCTGAAGATTACTAGAAGAGCAACCGATATATGATTATTTATGGCCAGTCTCAAACCAGATATTTTCAGCCCAGGTCGTTTCTTCGTAGAATCGATCTTCGATCATTCTGCACCACAAACGTAGCTATCAGCCATCA